AACACTGAAAATGTTGCACTCTTTGATAATGCACTGTCATGAAACACATTCTGGCATGTTTATTGTGGCCAAAATTATCTATGTTTTTTTTTTTTAATCTTGAAAGAGTCCCGTCCCCCCCAATAGATCCTTGGACTTTCCCAGTCCGTACACGTGGACTGAGTAAAATGCTTTGCAAGACAAGGTTTTTCGTCTTGAAAAGGAGAAGATTCTTCTTGGAGGTTTTTTTAAAGAGCTCCTTGTTCCCGGTTTTACCATTGGAAAAATGGGGGGGGGGGACTGAGACATTTTCATACTGTATATTTTGAGTACAAAGAAACCTTCCCTTATGAAGCATTTTGCATGTTCTAAAGGATAAAATTGTTTCATAGGACTCCCCCTCCCCCCGGGCTTCCCCAGTTTTCCAGTGTTTCCCTTGGGCAAAAAACTGGGGGAAAACATATGATTTTCTTTCTGACTTTTCTCTCCCCCCCCCAAACCTTCAAATCTGTAGGTGTGACCACTACAGTAAGAGAGAACAGTCACAGAGGGCAAAAATATTGCAGCGTGATGTTAGGAGTGCCATTGTGGTTTAGCAGTTTGTGCGTCGTGCTAGGATCTGGGAGACATGAATTCGAATCTCCATTCTGCCATAGAAGCTGGCTGGGTGACCTTGGGCTAGCCTCTCTCTCCCAGTCTGACCCTCTCACTGGGGTATTGTGAGGATACAACACAGGAGAGGAGAATGATGGGTCTCCATTGGGGAGAAGTGTGGCGTATGAATGAAGTAAATAAACAAACACCTCTATATATTTCACCAGAAGAAAAACCTAATATGCAGTTCATTTTCTTCCTATGAAGGAATGCCCTCAGTTGATTGTTTCCCCCCACACAGATAAATCCAGATTGAGTAAAGAAAGAGTTGTTAGAAGGTTAGCTGGCATGGAGTCGTTAACCATCACCCTTTTTTCCCCTTTCTCTGGCCAGCAAAGAAGAAACACTATGTGTTCTGGTATCTCGAAAGCAGTCATAGGAGATCAACTGGAAAAGCTGAAGGCAGAGATGGAGGTGGAGAATAATAACCACTCAAAAGTGATAGAATGAATTGGAAAGGACTTGAATTCACTGATGAACGCAACCCTTGACATCGCCATCACAAGTGCAGCAGGTGTTGGTAAATCATCTCTCGTCAATGACCTGCGAGAAATGACAGACTATGAAGAACAACCATGGAGACAAAGAGATATCTACACCCCAGGATCCCAAATGTAACAATATGGGATCTTCCAGGAATTGGACACCTGCATTCAAAGCCGAGGAATACCTTGAGATGGTACAGAACAAAGTTTGAGTCCAGGGGCACCTTTTTTAAGACCAACAAAGTTTTATTCACAATATACGCTTTCATGTGCAAGCACACTTCCTCAAATTCAGCAACACAGAACCTCCTCAACCATTATTTATAGAGGGTGGGGTGTTCGCTGTGGTCAGGAAGGGCCATTTAGAGTCAAGATGCATAAGTCCTGGGTGATTATAGCTGAGATAGGATGTAAGAAAGATCTGTGAATGGCAGTAAATTAGCATAAAAATGACAGACAAACAGATACTGCATGTAAATTAATTACTGGAACAAGGTTTGAGTCCAGTGGCACCAACAAGACAAATAAAGTTCAATTCTGTGTACAAGCGAGAACTGAGAGACTTAGTATGTACACTAATTCAGATTCACTGAAACAGATTGCCTCAGATATTACATTTAGGTAGAGGGGTACATTTTAGGAGGCACTATTCTTTCATCGTTGTTTCAGTTTGCTTCACAGGGAATGATGTTCTACTGGCTCAAGAAATTCAAGAAATGAAGAAGAAATGTTACTATGTGCACACTAAACGAGATGTCGATATGGATTCTAAAAGAAAGAAGGCAGAAGCAAGGACAGAAACCGTCAGGAAGGGGGGGGAAACCTTGAAAAGATAAGGCATGGCATGTCTCTGTAAAAATTTCGCAAACGCAGGAGAATCTCATCTGAGAGTTTTTCTCATCTCCAGGTAGAATTTGGAAGAGTATGATTTCCGACTCCTGCAAATGACATGGATGAGCTCAAGATATATATTTTTACCATAGCATTGCCAAAGAATGAAGGAAATGGCAACCCACTCCAGTATTTTTGCCAAGAAAACCCCATGGACAAAGAAGTCAAAAAGATGCTGAAAAAGAAGAAGGCTGCTATGGAGGCCCTTATATGGAAAGTAGCACTTGTGTCTTTGATTTCAGTTTCAGTCCCTGGTCTCTTTTTGCAGTATCCCCTTCTTGAAGGCAACAATGAGAGATTTCAGCAAGGACTTTGGCCTTTGTAGGCTTGCAAATCAAGCTGGCAAACCTATTTGTGTGTCGGGTTCAGCTATTAGAAAGTTCACAATAACCAACAAAGGCTGATTTAGCATTGGCTTTCCCCTCCGTTGTTTTAGCAAACCCACATTGGAACAGAAATCCCCTTCTGCATTGCATGCTGCTTTCGCTTCCTTTGATCATTGGGTTTTATGGTAGCCTCCACACTCCATGCTGCTCTGGCTTCCTCTGATCATCGGATTTTATGGCACCTTCTGCATAGATTTATGACCATTTTATGACCGTTCAGGGATGACTTTGCAGTCAGTATGGCATTGACCCGGGTATTCGAATGTTGTTTTGAGCTGCACTTTCCCCTCCCAGTTGAGAAAATGTGGAGTGAATGCTAGATGCAGAATTGCCCAAGACTGACAATGCATTTATAAGAAGCCTATTAGTTACCAAATGCTTGGGTGAAGGAATTAAACAGCTGGGAAACCTTTTAATCGATTTCATACCCGTGTTGGGCTCTCTGTACGGTGGAGTTAATTCTTTTGCAGCTCTGTCCCCCATGCAGCAGAGCTTTCTGGATGATGTTGATGAAGAGGCTGAGAATGTTGGTGACATAGGCGTAATCTTCGTGGGGGCGGCGGGGCTTCAGCCCCCGCCGAAATTTTCAGGAAGCTGCTCAGCCTCCCCCGGGAGCCACCCTTGCTCCTAGCACTCTGGCCCAGCCCCAGCCCCCCCCGGGAAATTGGAAAGTTTACACCCTTGGTTGGGGAGAAAGCTTTTGAGAATGTAGAGTCCCAAAACCAGTAAAGGCCCTCTGCAGAGAATGCATGCACATGTCCTATAAATTACATGGACAAAAGAAGGAACCAGAACGCAAGAACAGGGCCATACCCATATTGGACTTTCTCGGTGGTTCTTTTGGAACCACATCCTGCAAGTTGAAAAAGAAATCTGACAAATGTTATGGAAGATGATGAGGATGAAGAGTTCCAACTCAAGATTCAAAACACCCATCTGAACAGAGAAATCGAAGTGCCAATGTACAAATGATGCAAGAGGCGTAAACGCCGAGAAGAAATTCTGATTTGGAAACTCCTCCCCTATACAATTTCACCTAGAATCTGGAGAGAGCCAGTTTGGTGTCGTGGTTAAGTGTGCGGACTCTAATCTGGGAGAACTGGGTTTGATTCCCCACGCCTCCACTTGCACCTGCTGATGTGACCTTGGGTCAGTCACAAGCTCTGGCACAGCTGTCCTTGAAAAAGAGCAGTTTGTGTCAGAGCTCTCTCAGCCCCACCCACCTCACAGGGTGTCTGTTGTGGGGAGGGGAAGGGAGAGGAATTTGTAAGCCTCTCTGAGACTCCCTTGGGTGGTGAAGGGCGGCGTATAAATCCAATCTCCTCCTCCTCTTCTTCTTCTTTATGTCTGAGTAGCACCATGGTAAGTTTAGATAATTTTTAATTTTCTTCATGGAAGCTCTTTCAGTTGTGGCGATTCAATGTACCTCACACCCAGAAGCTCCAAGGGAGCTGTGAACATCTTGAGCTGATAGGCCCTGTTCCCTATTGCAAATAAAAGCCACTATAATGGCAAAGCTCAAAACAACTGAGTATTGCTGCAAAACTATGTGCCACTTGACATCTTTCTCTGGTGGCACTTTTTTCCTGGCTGAGCACTGCAAGACTAAATCTGCCAAAGATTCTGGGTGAGTATTGGGCTGGAAAGCCATGGTTTCCAAACTCTCCTTCAGGAAACCCTCAGAAAATGTTCAGGGCTGCCTACCACTCCTGATCATCCTCTACAATGAATAGCCCAAGGGGAAGTTTGAATGTGTTATTCTGCTCAGTGGTAGACAGAGAACATTCCCTGTTGAGCACCACTGCAGCAGTTCCCCATATTGAAGGCCCTGGTCCTCTCCCTCTCTCTGGAGGGGATTGGGGGGGGGGGGGGG